ATTACATTAACAATTCATTGATTATTACACTCATTTGTAGATTTTTTTAAAAATTAGAATTTAGAATTAGAAATCAATAAAACAAAAAGTTTTTTTATTCGAAAAACAAATCAAAATAAAAAAATTTTTTTTTTCCCTTTAATTAATACCTTAATACCGAATCAAACTATTAATAATTTTCGACCTATAATTTTTACATTTATAATAAATATAAATATAGTTTGATCCTATTATTACTTAATCAATAACATAACATCATAATCATAAGTAATCATTTGCTATTATATATTATTATATATTACTATTAATTTCTTCTCATTCCTTTTTTTTTCTTTATAACTAATATTATTGTTATTAAAGAAACTTCTTTTTGCCTTGCTTCATTTCATTCAATCAAAAAAAAAAACCAAAAACAAAACAATGTCTTCATTAGAAACATTTTTATTAATATATTTATTCGGAGGTGTTACATTCTTTCCTTTATTAATATTAATAATATTTCTTGTGAAATTTCAGCCCTGGAGATTGAAAAAGAATGAGAATATTGAATTTGATGACGTGCCTGATGAATTATTAAAAAATAACAATGATGATAGATCAATCATTAATAATAATAAAAATGTTAATAATGAGACTATAGATAATTCTGGTTTTTATAAATTTGGATGGATAAGAGTAACCAAAGAACATGAAGCAAGTTCCACAACTCAATTTTCTAACATTTCTTCCACTTCAATTAATCCTTCTAATAACTCTTACAACCCTTCTTCTAACAACTCTTCTATTCCGACTTCTCTTGAAGCTGCTTCTCCAAATAATTCACAAACGATTGGTACAATAATGAAACAAGGAATACAATCATACATGGAGGCCAAAAATCTAAGATTAAAACAAGCGAATGATTCATATTTTGCCGTCTTGAAATATAATACCCTTTTTATGTACGACAATGAAAATCAATTGGATTGTAAAGGTGTAATAATAGTGTCAAATCATGATGTGTCAATGTATCCGGAAAATTTACCTGATAACGAAATATTTTTAAAACCTACTTCCATCAGGTTAAAAAAAAAACAATCAATATATGCTGAAATGGAAAAGATTAATGAAAACAACAACAATGAAAACAATAATGATAATGATTGTACAACTGAGCCTTTAGTTGGCGAGTCATCACCACCATCATCATTTTCTTCTACTTCTTCTTCTAGTGGTGATACCAATAATAGCGGTAACAGTAGTAATAGTAGTAGCAGATCGGCTATGGCTACATGTTATTATATATTTTGTGATAGATGTGTTGATAAAGAAGATTGGTTTTTTGCATTACAAAAATCCTCAAAACTCCATTCAAATTCACCCGGTCCTCAGCCACAAATAGTAAAAGATAAAGCAGAGTTTGATCAACATGCAATGACCAATTTACTAAAAACAATCAACTCAAATGATGATCACATAAAAACTCAATGGTTAAATGCAACACTAGGAAGAATATTTCTTTCAATCTATAAAACAAACACAATCAAAGAATATTTCATCCACAAACTGAAGAAAAAAATCAAAAGAGTCAAAAAACCAAATTTCTTAAGTGACATACAAATAAAATCAGTAGAGGTAGGTGATGGAATACCTTATATTACCAACCCTAAATTGAATGGATTGTCTGATAATGGTGATTTAAGTGTTGATCTAAACCTGGATTATAATGGTGGATTTAGGGTGGAAATAGAAACTGAAGCTATGATTTCGGTTACAAGATTGAGAACCATTAAATTGTCGTTTGTTCTTGCAGTGGTCTTGAAAGGTCTGCAAGGTAGATTGTTGTTGAAAATCAAACCACCACCAACAAATAGGATTTGGTTTGGTTTTTATGAAATGCCAAAATTGAACTTATTAATTGAACCAATAGTTTCAGAAACTCGATTAAAATTATCACAATAATTAAAGCAATCAAGTCAAAAATTCATGAAATGATTATGGATACTGTAGTATTACCCAATATGGAGAATTTGCCATTTTTCTCAAGTTTTGGAATGGGTGGAGTTTATGAAGGTGATGTGAAAATTAATGATGATGGCAAAAAATGCTATGATAATGTTGATGGTGATGCAAAGTGGTGGTGATAGAAGGGGAAGAAGGCTGTAAGGAAAATAATAATGTAAAAGAAAAAGGAGAGGAAATGGATGAAGACATATTAAGGTACAAGAAGAAAAGCAAAAGGATGAAATAATTGAACATAACCAAAATTCAAACAATAAAAATTTAGAATTCTTGACAAATAATAATAATGATAAAAGTGAACATTAAACATGAAATAATAAATTCAAATACATCCATGGATAATGATAGTACTGCTGAAGGATCAAATGATTCATGTAGTGGTGAATCTAATTTGACCAAGTCTAATAATTATGGATTTGGATATGTTACCAAGCATTTAAACGGTTTGATTTAGCAAATGATTTTATTAACTCAAAAATTATTTATTAAATTATAATTATAATAACAACAACAACAATAATAATCAACATAGTAATATGAATCTGCCAGATAATGTAAACTTTTCATCAAGTTTCTCAAATTTGGCAATTAGAAATTGGTCAAAATCCATATCCATAAAATGTCATAATAGAAGAAATAGTGGTAATATAATATCAGGAACACCTCCTAATAGTAATGACAATATTAATAATGATATTATTATTAACAATAATAATATTATTAGTGGTAATAATATTAGCAATGATCATGATAATATTAATGATAATAACAACAATTATAATGATGATTGTGATAATTTTAACAACAAAGATGATGATTCAAAAAATCATGCATCATCATTATCAACAACAGATTCACAAAATAATATAAATCTCCAATTAACAACAATAACACTGAAAACTATACCAAAATAAAAGCCAAAGACACCATCATTCTTATCAACATCACCAGTATTATCACCCTTGTCACCCTCATCATCTTTATCAAAATCACCTAGCAGAAATGATTGTAAAATAATACAGGATCACACAGATTTATTTCCTGTAATAAAACCAATATTAAACACTTCAATAGAAGAATTGAATCAAGTGTTAGGATAATTAATTGATTGATAGATGATTATTAACTAATTATTGAAATTTAATAAAATTATTTTACTAATGTACATTTTTCTAGAGATTATCTAAAGGCCATTAGAAAAAAAAAATTTTTTTAAATATTAAATAAATAAATAATCTAAAATTAAAATTACAATTAAATAAAAATAAATTATTTCAATTAAAAATCAAATAATAAAATAAATTATTTCAATTAAAAATCAAATAATAAAATAACCAAGATAATAATAATTAACAATTTAATTTTCTCAAACTTATAAATAATGCATTAGCATCTACCAAAACAACACCTTCATCAAATGTTTCTAATCTTCCTTCAACAAAGCCTTTTCTACCCTCAATTTTTGTAACTTTACATTTACAAACCAATATTTGGTTTGCTTTGCATGGTTTACGAAAATTCACATGTAGGAATGCTGTTGCTCCATTTTTATCTGGTAATGATGGAATTGCCTTTTTCAATTTAATGATTATTTAATTAATAAATTTGTGTTAAAAATTCAAACAAAAAATGAGTGAATGGACATTTGTTAGGATAATTACAGTTATTGCCAACCCTTCATCCATAATTGTTGATAATAATCCACCATGAATGATGCCATCATGACCACACAAATCGCTGCCAACATGTAAAAAAATGATGCTTTCCATCTTCTCGCTAGAATAGAAAAGTATTGGCTTCATGATGAATTTTCCTTTACCTTGTAAAGTGTTAGCAGTTAAATGTTTTGTTTTTCTATCATGTTTTATATTGTCATAACCTCTATTGTGTATATAAGACGGATCATTTAGTAATTGATTCACCAATGAAGTTGAATAAACTTCTGATTCTAGAAAATTGACCTCTTCTTCTATTTGTTGTTGATTTTTTTTTAAAGATGATGATAAAGATAATGACGATGTTTTTGAAAGGAAATATGATAGACCGGCTATTATGATACTGCCGCATATTATAGTAGTTGTTTTAAAATCATTCATAATATTTTGCGAAGTGATATTTTTAATTAATGCCATTTTGGAATAGAGTTTAAAAAGAATAAAAAATAATCAAGTTTTAATTTCAATTATTTATACTTTATAAATTATATATCACGCTTAATATTAATATTTATGATTAATAATAATAATAATAATAATATTGATTGTGCAATTACGGGAAATTAACCAATTGGCTAATTGCGATTTGTAATAATATTATGAAGTTTATCCGATTTTTCGTTAATATTAAATATTAAAAGGCAGTAAAATCATCCGTTTGAAGCGTGTAACCAATCGGATTTTTATAATAAACGCCAACTTCGTTATTAAATCCAAGTAAAATCGCACCTTTCTAATGAATATCCTTTTATATTGAAAAGAGTTATTTCTCTAAGTAAAGCCATGGCCATTCCGAAATGTATTGTATTTTTTTATTTCAAGGATTGGGTGGGTATTAGTATTACTTCATTTGGGATATAAAAATTCAATGCGATGTAACAGTAATTTATGTAAGCCTCATAGTCAAAAAAGTCATGTGATATTGATTTTTAATGTCGATCACTAAAATTTTATATATGAACATAAATTGGGGGCGCTGGGTTTCGAGTATATAATAATATATAAAAAAAAATTTTTTTTTTGTGCAAACAATTGGATTAAATTTTATAGAGAGGCTAAATTATAATAAAAATTATGAATTAGTAACACTCTATAGGGCTCCGTGACTATAAATTTATTAAATTATCATTTTTAAATTCGATTCTAAGAACATTTTGGTTGCCCCAAGAATTTATTTTTGTACTAAGTAAACAGCATCTAATTTTTTCATCAATTATAATCATGATGTTATAGTTTAATATTATACAAAAAAAATTTTTTTGATCAAAAGTCTCGAAACCCGGTTTTCCTAGTGCGTCCCTCAATTATAAAATTTATCATATTTATTAATTTTTTTTGGGATCCTCGACCATATGATTTGTTTGTATGTTCTTGAAGTTCTTGACCAATTTTAAAATATATACATTATCGAATTAATATTACTAAATTTTTTTATATCTAATAGAATAATAATAATCACCAAAAGTTTAAATAATTATATTTTTTATCAATAACTGTAATTATCACTTTATTTTCTTTAAGATAACGATCCTTCACGTAATCATCAACCATAATTTCTATTTCTAACCTAATTCAATGTTACGTTGGAAATTTATCTCTATCAATTTAAGCGTTTTCATTGAATAATTATTATCAAAAATTACCTTAATGATTTGACTGCTAAATTAACGAGTTCGTCGACCATATTATTAATAAAAACCTAATTGTATATATGCTTGCTTGTTGCAAATAATCGAATTTAAAAATTTGTTTTGATTTTGGATCAAAAAATTTATCGCTTTTGAATTTTGACACAATAACACAAATGCATTTAATATTTCTCACATGATTATTTTTTTGCAATGTAAAAATGTGCAAATGAAAATACCGATGTTTCCTGATCTAGAAGAGTAACTATTACTAATTGTTCTGTATTGTATTGTTCTAATGCGTTCCCAATTCCATTTTTCATTAAAATTAGAACATCTAATGAAAAATTAATATCTATAACTAAACATTTAACTTGAATACAAAAAACAATGTAAAACACACACAAATATTTTTATCATCAACTTCTCCGGGAGGACTGTCAAGCAAAAACTTTGTTACAATTTTAAGTTTCTCTTCAATGGATAAGATAACTCTTTTTTTTTAAAAAAAAAAAAAAATAATCGTCTCAGATCGTCAAGTTTCCAAATTTGTATTTTACAGTGTGCCATGCGATTGAAAACAAAAAGAATGGAAAAGATCATCGAAAGTTTTTTTGAAAACCGATTAACGACAATAATAAAAGTTCCTTCCTTCCTAAGTAATATTGGCGGTAATATAATGATGATCAAGGGAAGATGATAAATGTAAAGGATTTGGATAATCTGGTGAAAAATGACCGATCTGATGTAACATCTAAAAAACATGTTTTTTTATCAAATAAAATTTTTTTTGTTGGGGACTTCATTTTTTTTTCCAACATTTTCATTTTAGAATGAATGGGAATAATGTGATTACATTAATTATTATTATATTATTTATTTATTTAATTGATAGAACAATCTCTACCCCAAAATTTGTTATTTATCTTTAAGATCATATAATTCATATACAATTGAGAAAATAATTAAAAATAATTTTAATTAAACATTGCTAATAATGGTTAAAAAATTATGGTTGTAATTTAAATTTTTTTTATATTTATTTTTATCTTCTTTCCCTCCTCACAAACCATTTCACTCACATTATCATAATTAAAATTAATTATCACATCAAAATCCAAATCAACGTCTGTCTCCTTTACCTTTTCATTCCAAGATGGCATCGCTGATAAATCATAATTACACAACAAGTTATTTCAAAAGTGTCGAGGCACCAAAAAATATTCCATTTCCACAATATTATGATGTAGTAATGGATTGGAAATTTCCATTAACTGTAGCGGCAATTTACGCAATTGTCATAACATTGCTAAATCCAAAACCTCAATCCACTTCTCTTAACAAAAATATCAATAGTTATAATGTTTCTCGTGCTGTTGCTCAATCAAAAGGTTTAAAAGTTTCAAATATAAAGCAAAGTGGACAATTTATGACAGCTATTGTATTCATTCATAATTTGATTTTGTGTTTATATTCTTTAATAACATTTGTATCAATGGGTTCTACCTTTGTAAATAATTTTTATGATCATCGGAACAATTTAATGGATGCTGTAAGTGTGAAATCATTATATATATATATATATATTTTTCAAATATCCTAATTTAATATTCATTTTTTTCTTTTGCTTTATAAGTACTGTGATAGAGATGGATCATTGTGGGAAGAAGGTCTTGGATATTGGGGTTATCTTTTCTATCTATCAAAATGTAAATATTTAATTGATCAGTTGGAAATTTTGAATAGAAATTTGGCTGCTAGATACTAACTAATCCACACATATGTGTTTCTTAATATTTTCACTATAATTTTCCCATCATTCATTTTAATTAGACTACGAAATAATTGATACTATAATTATCTTGATGAAAGGTCGTCGCTCATCATTTCTACAAACTTATCATCATGCAGGTGCCATTATAACGATGTGGTCAGGAATCAATTACAAAGCTCCACCAATTTGGATATTTGTGATATTCAATTCCTTCATTCACACAATAATGTATTCATATTATGCCATAACAAGTATTGGTTATACTCCACCTGGAAAACAATACTTGACCAGAATGCAGATAATTCAATTTTTGATTGGAACTCCTCTTGCAATATCTTATTTGTTTGTTAATAATTGTTTAATCACTCCCGAAACAAAATTAGCAACCTATATAAATGTTTTTTATCTACTACCTCTAACCTATCTTTTCATAGATTTTGCCAAAAAAACTTATGGAGGCAGCCACAGAAAACAACAAAACATAAAAAAAATAGATTAAAATAAATATTTGAGAGAGAAAGAAAGAGAGAAAGAGGAGAGGAATAGATATTGATCTTTTATTTGTATTATAATACTTTTCTAGTATTAGTTTCCTTTCTTCCTTTCTATAATTAATTCAAATGCTAATTCTAATAAAAATACACTTTTTTTTTTTTTTCTTAATTTTTAATTATATTAGTTTTTCTTTCTAAATTAATAAAATAATCTTAATTAAAATATATGTTAGCAAATTTGATTTTTTTATTGATATATACAAAAATAACAATAATAATAAAACAAAAAAAAATTTAAATTCTACTTGAATAATGTGTAAAAAATCTATACACTGCGTAGCTAAAAAAATTAAACAATTTTTCTATAATTCGTTGATGGTAGGGTGGTAGATTGATCAATATGACGTGACCTATGAAATTGACATGCATTCAACTGCGTTCTTGTACTTTTTTAGCTTGCCATTGTTGTTGTTCTATTCTGCAATCTTGGCAATCGATTTGATTCATGACAATCGGATCAAAATTTTGAAGTTGCACGAGACGTTCTATGACGAATTTAATTTACACTTATGAAAGCAATCTGTCATCAATTAGTATTTTCTAACATTAATGTAATTATCATTATTTTCAATGGTGTTTGTATGTATTTAATAATATTTTATGTTACACGTATCAAAATCAGGTGATTGTAGTATTTGTCATATGATTTTCAGATATTAATATGAATGAATAATAATAATTCCGAAATTAATTTAATAGTAATTAGTCTTAAAAAGATGTTTGTCCATATTAATATGTATGAAGAATGTTGAAAAGCTGAAATGATTGCTGTGATTTACTTTTTTCCAAAAACAATCTGGCAAACAAATTCCATCAGCTTCGATGATAGGAATAAGAACATTTTATACTTTTTTTATTTGTTCCATCTATTTCTTGATGATTTTCCTTTTCTTTCTAAAATATATTTTTTTGTTTCTTCATCATTATAGATTCGAAAATTAGAACGTTCGATGTAATAGTAATAGATAAATAAATTATCATTATTGTTATGAGTTTTGTTCTTTTCTCCGTCTTGTCATCATCGTAGAATCAACCCTTTTATATCAAAAATAGTTACAAAAATCAGCAATAATTATTCCAAGGATAGACGAGTAGCAGTTTGAAGGTTTTTAGTGGTTGCACCTCTCCTCGATTTGTTTTCAGAAAATATTTACGAGACCAATCATCTAAATCCATTGAAATAAATCTGAAAATGATCGGCGCATATTTAGAACTAAAATAAGGCAAATGGTGTCAGCGAGCGCGGGTAAACGTTACTCGTCTGGTTCTTTGGTAATATTTGTGATTATAGTTTAAGGTTTTTGTAATTGATGGGATTAAAAAAGCTGTAAAAAACAATCTGTAAGAGAATTATTAACGATCGATAAAAACGGTTTGATTAAAAAGTTTTTTTTAGAAAAATTAGGTTACGCAAACTTGTTTTTTTCTAGATATTTATTTATATATACTATTATTTATATATTAAAAGAAAAAAAAAAAATGAAAAGTAATAATAATAATAATAATGATAATAATAATGATAAAAGTAATAATAATGATGACATTAAAGATGATAAAAAGACATCAACACTAATTAAAGAAACATTAGAAACAGAGAGATTTAATGATATCGGTAATAATATAATATCGCCTATCGAAATAATGATTGATGTTAAAAAAGAGTTTAGTAATGGTGTGAAGGAAGTTGTCATAACCACAGCTACAACAGCACCTCTTACTCATGTATGGAATTACAATATATTTGATTTTAAGAGATTGTTATATATAATTCAAAATTATATTCCAATTATTTAGATAATGTTTGCTGGAGGATTTGGTGGATCAACTGCTGATTTTTTAATGCATAGGTTAGATTAGATGTTGTGTGGTTCAATCACAAAATTTTTTTTTCTTTAAAAATTTTACATAATTCATATATTTGTTATTCTTGCAAAAAGTGTTGATACAGTCAAAACCAGATTACAAGGTCAAAAATTTACCAAGCCACCAAAATATCAAAGTATGTTACATGCATATGTTACAATACTTAAGCAAGAGGGTATAATGCGTGGATTATATGGAGGAGTTTTGCCTGCAATATCAGGGTCAGGTATTAATGATCAAACAAACAAATAATTAATTGTGTGTTGATTAACTAATTTATTAATTGATTGGATTGATTGATTGATTGGATTGATTGACTAGTTCCTGCCACAACGATTTATTTTGGAACTTATGAATTCTTTAAGCGTAATTTAACAGGGATTGGAATCCCTGATACAATTTCTCATTTATCATCTGGTAATAAACAATTTTTATATAATATATACACACAAATTACATATAAATGATATAACTAAAAAACAAGTTTTATAGGAGCTCTTGGTGATGTAGTTGCATCTACTGTGTATGTTCCATCTGAGGTAAACTTTTATCTATCATAGTGTATTATGTTTTTTGAATAAAAATTTCATGTGTATTTTCTTATTTAGGTATTGAAAACCAGATTACAATTACAAGGCCGATACAATAATCCACATTTTTTTTGTGGATACAATTATAGAAATACTTGGCACGCTGTGCAGATGGTTCGTTTGCACCTTGGTGGTTCGTTTAAACCATGTGCTACTTATTAATTATTTGATTAATTTGGTTGGTTGTTTGATTAAACAGATTTATTGATTGAAATGAATTGGTTAAAATATATAATAGATTTATAAACTTGAAGGTGCAAGTGCATTCTATCATGGTTATAGAGCTACTTTATTACGTGATGTGCCATTTTCTGCATTACAATTTGCTTTTTATGGTAAAGTTTGAAAATTTATTTTATTAATCAATCTAAAAAAAATTTAATTACTAATTATTATCAATAATAATTAGAAAAGTTCAAGTTTTGGGCAGTTTTATATACAAGCAAGAATAATTATTCATCATCATCTTCTTCTTCAACAACCAGTCAATTAACATTAAAATGGGAAATAATAACAGGTACTTTGGCTGGTGCACTAGCTGGTGCATTAACCACGCCATTAGATGTGATGAAAACTTTATTACAAACACAAGTGCAAAAACAAGCACAAAAACAATCCAAAAAAGCTGCAACCTCTACATCAACAACAACTCCAAACCCAAACCCAAACCTATCATCAACAATTTCAACTCCATCTGCATCTGCAATAAAAACTCCATCAACAGTTATCAATCCACCAACATCATCAATATCTAAATATGCAACACATTTTTATGGTGGGATATGGGAAGGAATGCAATGGAATTATAAACATCATGGTTTGGCAGGATTATTTAGAGGTGTTGCCCCAAGGGTTGCTTGGACTGGTATGCAAAGTGGTTTAATGTTTGTAATCTATGAACAAGTTTTATGTTTTTTAGGAAATATGGCAACAACTTCAATTTAATATAATATGTATATATATATGTGCGTGTGTGTGTGTGTGTGTGTATAGATAGATATAAATAAAATTTGTAGATATTAGATTACCAAATTTATGCAAAAATCTGCAGATAATCCCCAAATCTGGTAGATAGATTGTTAAATTTTATTAATTACTATTAAAGTTTTTTAAATTATTTTTAATCACGAGTAATTATTATATACAAAAATGTTAACATTTATATTTATGCATTTAGGTACATAGGCAAAAAATTATAACAATTATTCAAATTTAGCAACATGACCACAAACTTAATTGCATTGTTATTATATGATTTTGATGATTTTAGACACAAATTTTTTTAGAATTTTGATGAGTTAGGAATTAAAATTTATAAAAGTAATTTATGCATTTATTGTATTGTTGTGTTCGTCATATTTTTCATGTCTGCATTGTAGTAAATTTCTTTGAGTGCTCGCTTTTGGCAATATCGTAACATGTTTGGTGCTCTCAAACAATTTTTTGATGACTTTGGAATCAAATTTATTAAAGAAAGAAAAAGATGATAAGTTTGGCATCAAAAATTATTCAATTTATCAAATGGTAATAAAACTCGATAGTAATAAAAAAATTCTATATAAAAAGGTATCCGTTGAACATTACAACGAAAAAATCATAAATCAAAAAAAAAACAAGAAATAAAATAATTTTACCAATAAAAACTTTTATCAACTTTCTCGAAAATGCAATATAAATTTCTTTATCAAAACAAAATTAACAACGACATTAAATTAAAATCCTCTGGAAATCCTTTTGAACAATTTTTGAAAAATCTCGAGCTACCCAAATTCTTGTCAACTCGTCATCATCATCATCATAGCAATAGCAAACCAAAAAAATCATTCAGAAAAATCTTTAGCAAAATCATTCACCCAATTAATAAATCATGTGATTTTAGCAAGACCAATTGTCCCTACGAGATTTTCAAACAATCATTAGAAAAAAATTCTGATAAAATACCATCAATAGATTTTAATATTATGAAAATCAAAGTAAATTTCTATTGGGATTTGGATACCGTCACCGAGATAAAAATTCCATTCGGCGTTTCGTTTAGATCCTTTTTAAATTATTTGGCCGAGAATGACTATTTCAACATACCCGTCGATGATTTAACTTTGTTGATGCAAACAGATTTATACGATCCACATTACGACATCATCAAAGCTAATGGAGTCTCTGATACAACAAATGCACAACTTTTAGAAATTTTACTAAAGAATAATAAATTGAAGATCATTAATAACGAAGACTCGTTTAATTATTATAAATGCTTGATTAATAGCGGCATATCGATCACGATTTTTTCCAAATCTTATTTGTAATCAATTTAATATTAATTAATTGTTTTATATATATATATATATAATTTAATTGGGTTTTCATTTGTAAAAAATGTAAATAAAAAAAAAATTTAATCAATAAATAAAAAAATCACAAAATACCAATATTAATCATGAATGAATTTTAGTGTAGCACGTGTCCACAATATTGAAAATGAAAACTTTCAAGTTTTCATTGTAAACCAAAAAAATTAATTAGAAAACTCCAATCTTCTAAAAGCCTTTTATCTATTCGTTAATGTCGGATTTTAATATTTAATATTAATATTGTTTCTTTTCAAACACTATAACCATTTAGAATTAGTAAACATGGTAGTTACTATATCTGCTTGTTGAATTTAATTAGTGTCAAAATTACACAAATTCATATTAATTGTACCTTGTAGATCTGCTTGTTGCATTCGAAAGCATCAATTTTTTAATATAAATATAAATATCTGCAATATATATTTTTTTTTTCGAATCTCTTCCAAACTCAACTCGTCTTGGGGAATTTACTAAATTTTTAACTATTTTATTTATTTATTTCCTTACATTCATTTTAACTTTTTTTTCTTTAAAGAAAGGATTTTCTAAAAATCTTAACCCTTAATTCATATATATATATTTTCACACACACATATTTATATATACACTTTTATATATAAAACGTATTAAATATAGAACGTTAGATACGTTTTATATTTTTTTATTATCATATATATATTTTTTAACGTATACCATTTACCATCAATTAATTATCTATTACCATTATCATCCGACATTCACAAGTCATTCGTTCTATATATATCCTTTATTAACTAAATAAATAAATAGAATAAAATAAAAATAAAACTCCTTTATTTTAAGAGGTTTTAAATTCCCCATCACCCCCCTATTTATTGTTTTATAATAAATCAATAAATCAATAATATCATTAACGTATTTAACGAACTACTTTATAATAATCATCCACCACCACCACAAAAAAATTTTAAAATTTTAAAATCATCTCCATTTGAAATTTTAAATTCATTCATTCATCCGTTTCATTAGTAATTAATTCATTTGTAAAAATTTTTATATAAATATAGTTCTTTTTGCTTTTACCCTTTTTTTTTTGCAAACTAAAATGATTGCATACCGAGAAAAACCAAATGTTTTCCAGTCTTTGAAATGGACTCAATTGATCTTTTCATTTGTGGTTTTCATCCTTGGTGAATATTTTATTTTATTTAATATTATTTAACAATGGATTTTTAATGCTAAAACAATATTTTATTTTATTAGAAATGATCCAGCTTGGATCAAATACAAGTTTATCTAACAAAAATCTTCAACAACTTGCTCCATTTATCAGCATTTCTGGTGAAAAACTATTTGTATACTTTGCTTTTTCGCTCAGTATCTTCACTATCGGTAAGAATTTTTTTTTTTTTTTGAAGCTGATTTTCAAAAGAAGAATAAAAAAATTTATTGATTGGATCTTTTTTTTTTAATATTTTTGATTTTCCAGCAATTTATCTTGTTAAATTCAAGACAATTTGGTCTCGTAAAAATGGTCCATTTATTTGGCTTGAAGTGTGAGTTTTTTAGTATTAAATTGTATCAATTAATAATGATTAATGATATTTATAATAAAATGTATTTTTAATAATAATCAATATTTAGATCATTATTGATGCTTTGGTTCGCTGGATGTAAGTAAAATGATTCAAATTTTTATTTCAAATTTTTTCATTTTTTTTTATTAATTTATTTTCTTCCAATAATTTAAATAGCAATAATAAACTCGATGAAAATTTTCATGAATTATCATTCTGAAATAATAAATTCGACCGACAAGCTTCCACAAGAAGCATTTACAAGTTTCAATGCATACATTGCATCAATGTTTTTTTCGTGGTTGAATGTGATCTTGTTCATGGTGTCGTTATTCATGACCTATAAAGTTAATGTTGAAAAATCAAAAATTAACAGTCTACGGCTTCGCCAACAAGCAAAAACTCGTAACGTCAAAGTGATAAAATATTCTCGAAATTCGGAACAGAAACGTGTCACTTTTATTCGCAACAACGAGAAAGATGTTAAAGAAAAGGTTATTATGTGCAAGGAGGAGGATTTTGTTGGTGGTAAAAATAATGACAATGATAATGATAATGAAAAATTTGATAACGACGCTGATTCAAAGGTTTAGAGAGGTCTATCTATCTATCTTTGATTGTATTAGTATAAAAATTTAGTTGTAGATTTTAATTTTTTGTAAATATTTTCTTTTATGAATTGAATTTCTTGCACTTTTTGATTACGCATTATTTCATCATCATCATCATCATCATCATCATCATCACATAATTCATTAATATTAACATTGTGCAAAAAATATAACTCATTCATTCTTTATTAAATATCATATCATATTTTATCCCCAAATTCTCATATATCCATACATACATACTTGCATATCATATTATTATCATATGAAGCAACTCATTCATATTTTATTGATATAATTTTTGGAGTAACGATACAATATATTAAATTGCTTCAAAGAAATTTGAATTACGTCATTATTGAGTTTATGGTGGTGTGGTGTTGAAAAAAATCATATCATCGTCATAAACAGGTTGTGCAATTCTTTGTCAATATACCTACGCACATCTTTAAATTTCGATGGCATTGAAAAACCCATATCGTCAGTGAGTTGTGTGACCTTTCTAAGAGTACTTGATGTCCACATCCCATACACAAGTTTAAATCTTTTGTTAAACTTTCAGATTCTTTTACTAGATCCTTAATCAACCAACCAATCTTAAAAGGAGCAATCCTTTTAAATAATTCTTGATTTTATAACTCTTGCTTGGTAAATTGTAGGAAGTGTCATAATATAAAAGTTTTATTACACTTGTATAGTTTATGGGAAAATGAACCAGCATGATTATATTGAAATATTTCAATCCTAATTTGTTGCCATTAATTAGTAAACAATAATTTTAATTATTAATATATAGTCCCCAGTGAAAGTAATGCCATGAGAATTAGAACCACTTTACTCAAGCATAGTTCCATAAATTGTCTAATTTATTAAGGATACTGGCTGCAACTTTTGATGATGGTTGCTACCATCTTTGTGTCATATAAAAATGATTACAACAACCTCTATGACCATTTTGTTTCCTTTTTTTGGATTGCAACATGGAACACTAAATTTTAAAAATCCATTATAACAAGAATTTAATTAATAGTCCACTGTGGTGAGGACTGCTGTGACAAGGTTCTTAGGTAGTAGAAGTAGCTATTTATTCATATTCATCATTATCATTATCACCATTTTCATCATTTGATATTTCATCAAGTAATTATTATCATCATTATTAAATATTTTGTAACTAGTGTAAAGTTTTATTATTGTTAATATTAAATATGCAATAGATATTGGGTATTCGATATAAGGTTGTGGGCGAAACCTCTTAATGACTGTCGAAACTCTGTCGAAACTCTAATGAACAATTAATGTGTAACCTGTCGAAACTCTGATGATTGGCGAAAACCCCAAATGCGAAACTCTGCCGAAACTCTAATAAACAATTAATGTGTAACCTGTCGAAACTCTGTTGATTGATTTCTGGAGGAGTTTCTCCCGCAACCTTAGTGCTGTACTAAGGTTTTTTTGCATCATTTTTTTTTTTTTTGAAAAACAATTTATTTTTCAATGACAAAGCATGAGTGATGTTATTTGGTATGGCTTGGTTCTCCTAAAGAAGAAGTGTCAATAACTAACCAGAGGTACTATTTTTTATTTGTATTGATATAATGTGGTGTCTTTTATTTTATATAAATACTATAATTGGAATCAAAATGCAGTGCAGATCTTGCTGGGTAATTATAAGAATCTCATCAAGATGGTAAACAATTGGTATTTTGCTTTTGGTAATCAATATTAATAATAATATTAATAATAAAATATATAATTACAAGAAGGTGCCAAGACAACACACTGCTGAAAAAGAAACATGTCGATATGCAATGTTTGATTATCAGAAATTAGCAGGCATTAAATCACGCACACTACCTTGAACACTTATAGTCATTCACACATCTTCCTCATGTACATAAGGCTAATCTGACCTGCATCCCCCAATGGATATGATATGCAATTAAATTTCAGGGGAGGAGCGCATGGCTCTGGAATTTATTAAAGCTTCATCAATCGTCAAGGACACTTTCACTAATCTTCCCTCACAGCTAAGGTTGTGGGCGAAACCTCTTAATGACTGTCAAAACTCTGTTGAAACTCTAATGAACAATTAATGTGTAACCTGTCAAAACTCTGATGATTGGTGAAAACCCCAAATGCGAAACTCTGCCAAAACTCTAATAAACAATTAATGTGTAACCTGTCAAAACTCTGTCAATTGATTTCTGGAGGAGTTTCTCCCGCAACCTTAGTCTGAGTTAAGATTGCTTGCCGAAACTTTTTAATGACTGCTGAAACTCTAATAAACAATTAGTGTGTAACCTGCTGTAACTCTGCTAATTGTCAAAATCCCTAAATGCAAAACTCTGCCAAAACTCTAACAAAAAATTAGTGTGCTACCTGCCAAAACTCTGCTGATTGATTTCCAGAGGAGTTTTGGAAAGCAACCATAGTCTGAATCTTGAATGATGATGATAATAATTTTCGCGAATATGTATTTATGCTTTACTTTCAAAGCTATCTATTACATCAGGAAAATGGGTACAAATATTATGCATATATAATACACAATTGCAGGGATTAAGCATATAATATGCATACAAATCGCGTATTTTTTTATGTATGCAAATTGTA